TTTCTCTCTCTCTCTCTCTCTCTCTCTCTCTCTCTCTCTCTCTCTCTCTCTCTCTCTCTCTCAACCGTTCGCTAGCTTTCCTTCTTTTTTTTGCATTCTCTGTTTTCACTCTCTCAACTATTTTTTCAACCCATTTTTCAGACACTCAACCCACTCCGAAATTTCCAACAAACACATCTTCGAACACTTCTTTCCGCTTTCTTTGTTTTTGTTTTTGTTTTTAATCATTTGTTGTTTTATCTCATCGACAAAAAAAAACAACCCGAAAAAACAAACAAACAAAAAAAAACAATGTTAAGAACCCGTGTCATCGCCATGGTACGTGATAGGTAGTCAGTGCCAGTCTGTTCCAGAACCCTGAAAATTGTAAGATCACGCAGCGGCAGATATGTACCTCCAAAAACAAAGAAAGAAAGATATAAAAGAAGTTTTTTACCATCTAGCATAAGGTTTTTGTCAGAATGAGCATAGATGTGTGTTGCTCTTAGAGTATGTATCTGTATATAACTCCAAAGGTATAGTATTTAAATTCCTGCATGTGGTTGAATGATGCATTTGATATGTGCATTTTGTGCGCTTTACTTCTCCTTTCATATTGAATTTTAATTAGAGTAATATATATGATTTAATATTTTTGTTTTTAAATGTATACCTGCATGTGTTTTTACAGTCCTGTACAGCCACGGAAAATTTCCCTCTGGGATAATGAAGTACTGTCTTATCTTATCTTATCTTATATAAAACGGGATGATCGATCAATATCCTAAAACCACACCCTGTTATTATACAGCCAATTCTCTCTTGTTTGGTTGGGTCAGCGCCTACGTTAGGAGCTTAAAAAACAGCGAGAACTTGAGGAAAATCAACAAAAAGGCACTTTTCGTGGTAATACAGGAGGGGGGCGGGGTTTACAACCCGGAGCCAAAAATAATTATTATTTTCATCAGCTGGCAATGGCCTACTTTTCAGACATATTCCTCGATAATATCGTAAATTATGTAATTCACTTGTTAGTGTCTGGTCCTTTGCTTGAATGTCAGGAGCCCCAATGACTGCTTTTTACCAAGATTATGATCGTGTTTTGTTTATTTATGTTATGTTTTGGCTGCTGGCCAGAGAGTGTCGCTGAATGGTTCTTGCCCAACTCAGTTCTGTCTTCCATCATTGTCGGTCGTTTTTTACCGACGTCTGTAGTGTAATGGTTGTCTCTCCAGTGCACATTACTGGGAGTTTCGTCAAACCCCTTTTTGATCTGTTTGTCCTAGTAGTAGGCCCCAAAGAGTTTAAGTGGAGGTTGGCGGGTGCTCTGGTGTGGTTTGCTTCTTCTTTCCTGTGAAACATCTATCGTCCTTATCTCCCCTTCTTCTTTTTTATATTTGTTACTCTCTTGTAACACCTCTAATCTCCTGGCGCTCATATGACCTTATGCAGTTGCGAGCGCCGTAAGACCTTTACTAAAACTTTTTTAAAAAAGAGTTTAATGGCACTTGCGACACAATTTGGTTATATAGATATATAAGTTTTGAAGATCAGAGGTGTTACGAGCAAGTACCAAAAGCTACAAAGAAGGAGGAGAGATAAGATAGGGCAATAGATGTTTGACAGGAAAGCAGGAGCAAACTACACCAGCACCCGCCAACCACCCACTTTGATAATGATATTTTTGATACATTTGAGAGATGGTGACGGTCAGTCTACATTGTATCAAATTTGATCCGTAAGTCTAATCTCGTAGGTCTTATCGCCTTCTACGTCCAAACTGAAGATTTCGTAATGCTTCATAGCTTTTTGGTTGGCGGTTTTAATTAAACTTATTGAATCATTACCTAGAAAATCAAACATGCTTAAATTTTGGTGGATTTCATCAAATTGCACCCAAAACGGTAGCTTTTACAAACCTAGTCACCTTCATATATCTGCTATCAAAAAAATTCTCTCGAAAAACGACCGAAAGAAAATCTGAAAGGCGAAGCGAGTACACATAAGCCTAATGAAATAATTACGAGTTATTACGACGTATAATTGCGTACTATTTATACAGAACAAAACAAATAGTTATTCCTCTTATTCCAATACAACATACATGTTGCTAACCGACGGGAAGGGGTGGATCGTACAGTCGACTCTGCTTGTGTGGAACTCACTTGTGGATGTATTGGTCGTCAGACGCTGACGGTATTATTATTTGCCCAAAACGTCATCATCATCATCATCATCATCATCATCATCATCATCATCACCACCATTGCCTTTCTCACCCTCAACAGGACGAACAAACACTTTCCACCTTTCTCTATCCTGGGCTAGCCTCTTGGTGTTATTCCATGTCTTCCCATTTTTCTGTACATCGATTTCTGTGATTCTGCTCCAGGTTCCTCGCGGTCTTCCACTTGATCTCTCACCCTGTGAATTCCAATCCCAAATTGTCTTTGTTATCATGCAGCTGCCTGGCGTCCAGAAAGCATGGCCCAAAACGTACACACCTTTTAATTTGTTTTCGTCGTGATCTTACGCCTGCATCGACACAATTTCGATGAAGTAGGAGGCTGACTGCTTTGACACTGTCTGGCAGGATCATCCTTGACTGAGAGGGATATAATAACGCACCAGCAGTCAGTCAGACGGAGAGACTCATTTACCAAAAAACAACAACACACACACAAAAAAACACTCCAACC